CTGACTAAAGTGATGTTTGCGGCAAACGTCGTCCCATTTCTTCCCGAGCGAGGTGATTTTTGCGTTCAGTAACAAGCTATCATCTTTGCCCTGCACTGAAGAAGATCGAAAATCAAGTTGCTATGACTTGTTATAGAACAAAACTATCCTACTGAAAACTAAATTAAATTGAAGTTTAAATTTATAAGAAAATAGAAGTAATTTAAGTTGACAAACATTTAACTGCAAACAACTTAAGGTAGAGCTAGAACTGAAACAAAAACCAAAAAAAAAAAGTAGCTTATGTGACAACAGTTTAACTAAATTTTAACGAAAAAGCCAAAATTTGAGCCGAAATAAAAGATTCACATTTCAAGAGTGCCAAGAAGCAAACAAACCCTTGAAGAAGGTGAACCGAAGCACGGCTGGTTATACTGTTCCGCAACCGAAGCACGAGGTACTTCATTCGAAAGCCTGGCTACCTCTTGTTCGTACTTCTCGTTGCACAGGTGGCACCGGGCAAGATTTTCGCATGTGTTGCTTGAGGAACTTTTTGCTTCTGATGGCATTGAGAAAAAACCGCCCAGTGGAACAAACGACTCCATCAAGCTGTAGTTTTTATTTTTTATTTTTATAAATTTGACATGCCACTATAAGAAGTGAGAACCCATGAATTCAGTATTATCAGAAACGAAAAAAGTAGATCAATAAAAGAACCATCTACTGAGGAAGTTCATGCAAGTTAAGATAAGAACTCCTTAGGCTATAAACAGAAAAGGCGTAAATAAGAAATCACAGCAATAATCATATTAATTCGGTCGAGTAAATTTGAAGTTAAAATACACAGTAAGTATGCAATTTGGAAAGATACAGGTAAACCATCAATGAAGCTGAGTGGAAGAGAATCTTTCTTCTCACTGTGAAACAAAGTGTTTGTTGTGATTGTTTCACTCAAATGATCAAATGGAGAGATAGAATGTTAGAAAGTTCATCATTCACGGCGAAAATTGATCGTCCTTTATACCCAGCGGGTCGTGGGTCTCGATTTTCTTCTAGAAATGAACCACAAATGCAGAAAAGTGTACTTACTGCTCATCTGTGTAGAGGCATGTGATATATTCTAACACATTAAATTATATACAAGGGAGGACATAGAAAATATATTTTTCTATTCCATCCTGGGATAAGTGTTAATATAATACATAATACATAGTTGCATCAATGCTTATGATCATGGAAATATAACAAACTGCAATAAACATTGCTTCATCAGTGAATTGATAACATAAAAACTCAATTTTAGGCAGGATGCAGTTTTCAAGAACTTAATTGCTAAAAACTAAAAAAGATACACACATAAATTGAATGGTATTCGAAGAACAAATAGACCAAAAACATAACAAAGACAAACAATAGATTGACGTTATACTTATACCTGGATCTTGGATGTGATCCTCCCACATCGAATTTAAACGAATTTACGGGCAAAATCTCCAGGTCCCAATCATCCTCAATTGTAGGAAATCTCTTCAAAACCTTGTAATAAACCTCATAATTTGCAGCTGCTCCAGTTATCCACAGTTTACCACTACAAACCTCAACCAATTTACTCAATCTTTCCACCAAAAGCCTCACACCATCGAAATTGTTATTACGATCACTTTCGACATTTAATTCATTCAAATCACCAAAATTCACAACCACTTTGCAATCTCCCACCATTTTCTCCACTTGTTCAAGCTTCAGCCTCAACGGCCCATCGTCAAAATCCCTATTCAGACACCTAAAAATCTCATCTTTAACACAAACAACCCTCAGCCCAGCAAAGAACTCATCCAAAAAGCCCAATCCTTTACTAATCTTCTCCAAGAAGATTTTCAATGCATCACCAGCTGAGACCCCCACAAGAAGTGGGCATCTCTTTTTCTCCCTCCTCATAACCTCGCAAATCCTCCTCAAATTCTCCTCGTCCCCGGGAAAACAGCCCAAGAAGGGAAAATTGCAGAGAAATAAAGGTGGGTTCGGCCGCTTGTACCTCGAGGTACAACCGAAAAGCTGCGAGGGGTAGAACCCGCCGCCGCCGGCGGCGGCCCCCTTTCTGAGCAGGGCCATTTTTATGTCGAAATTCCTAAAGCCCGCCTCCCCAAAAACCCTGCTCACCAGTGGATCGTCGAGGATCGAGATTACGAGATTCTGTAGCTCGACCTTGACGACGGGGATCGACGAGGAACACGCCGGCTTCTGCTGCTGGTAGAGGGTGTAGTTCTCCGGCTGCCGTCTCTGGTTCGCCTGCGACCTCTTGATGGCGGCCATCAGGGAGTTGGAGACCGGCGGCCCGCCCTCGGCCCGGTTCTGCGAGTTGGACGGAAGCCGGTCGAGGGATACCGTCAGCGAGAGCTCGAGGGCCTTGAACTGAACCCTAGCGGGGCAGGCGGAAGCGCCGCCGCGCCGGGCCTTGACGCAGGCCTCGCGCAGGGAGGAGCCGGGGAGGGAGAGGAGGGAGGAGATCATGTGGAGCGACGTCGTCTGGCCGTGGCCGCGGCGGCGAGCTACCGCCACCGCGTCGTCGAGTGCCGCCGCCGCCTCCGGCGTCAGGCATTGCCTGGCTGCGGCGACCGGTGTCGGCATGAGACTTGCGCGTGTTTTTTTGAAACAAGAAGACAAAAAAAGAATGTTGAATTAAATAATGGTTTGTTGCTTGTTTTTTTGAGATTTAGGAAAAGTTTCATCTAAAATCTTAATTGTGTAGTTTTTTTTT